TACCCCCAAGCCGAGGTGCCAATTCACCCAAACTTAACCAATTAACCAGATTCAAGTTTTAATTTTCCAAGCCAATCCGCATTTTTCTGGAGAATATGTAATTGGGTTTCAATTTTTCCTAAGTTATTTACACAGGCACAACATAATGTATTGGTAATAACACATATTCCTTCTTGTTCAGCTAGTAAATAGTCTAAAACTATGTGATTGTCTAATATAACTCTGGCTAAAAAGTTTATAGATTTTCATTGTAATTGTAGAGATTTTGCAGTAGATAAGGTCTCTTCTAATGAGGTTTAAGTGCAGTCTTTCATTGGTGTCTTTTCCAATAAACTAAGTTTCTAGGTTTTAATATTTGGGACACATTGTCTTCTTTTGGAAATGGATCACAGAAAGCTTTTTGGACTTTGTGGAAATACACCTTGGATATTGCATTAGTGTCTTACAGTTTTGAACCATATCATGATTATTTAGGACAGGATAAATATGAGGATGTCTCATTTCAAGAGGCAGTATTGCACATGAGCTTCCATCTAAGTAGGCTTCCATATGGTCTGAGCAATCAGGTATTCAATAAGACGTATTTCTATAGAAACAAAAGAAAAGCAGAGGTTAATAGTTGGAGCAAATTATAAACATAGTTTCTGAGTCTAAAGAGCAGTCAGTAGAGAAAATTTCTAGACTTGGGCTCAAAGCATCTTTAGATGGTGGAATGAGGATGGCAGTTTCAATTTGATGGATTTTCCTCATTTGCAGCTTGAATGTCTGATGATGTCAGGGTGTTCTGCTGCACTCTCTGAGTGGCTTTCTGTTATGAGAGGTTCAGGGATTCGATCGGAGATGTAAAAGAAACTTTCCACTCCAAACAAATGGACCGAAGGTATATTTTATTATATACAGGAAGATAAAGGCGATAGTCCACAAACAGATCCAAATAGGTCAAATAATAAAAGGGAAAAACACCAGCTCGACTGGAAAGGGAAAACATCCACACCTGCTGAGATAGCAGCAGATTCAAATAGGCATATAATGAGAGGGAAAAACATCAGATCGACTAGAAAGGGAAAACATCCACGTCAACTGAAGGGAAATGACACACATCAACCAGAAAGAGAAACACCAGGTTGACCAAAAAGAGAACACATCAGATCAGTTACTCACAACATCCACGCCCCACTGGCGGAAGAGTCCCTTCAATTGACACGGCTGGGCAGGAATCACATGTCCTGGGCAAGGCGTCCCTTCCACAGGTGGAACTTTCACCAGGCCTCAGTTTCCAGCAGTTTTTATAGCATCAGTAATTTCCAGAGTAAGCAGTTACAGAGTTTGCAGAGCAAGCATTTAGTGTTCCCATGCACAAATGGTTATCAGTGGCATACGTGCACTGAGCCCCCTGGTTATCCTCCCAGCCCAGCAGCTGTGTATGTGCATTGTTCTTTCCGGTTATCATCCCAGCCTGGCACAGATGGCCAGTCCATCCCATGCTATGACGCCCAAAGAGCCTTGAAATGTTACAACTTGCAACTCTCTCCATGGGAGAATGGTCAGTTCCCACCACAGAGAAAGCAGCTTTATATTTCTTTGTGTGCTGGTGGCTACAGGTCAATGGTATGGCCAAACATGGCTGTACTCATGTCAAGACACCTTCATAGAAGCAGGCATGAAGATTGTGCATCTATTATCTGTTGTGGTGATATCGCTAAAGTTCATATCAAATTGTCCCCCTTTAGCTAGTTAGGGTGTGGGGATGATGAATAAATGAAAAGCAATAGGATATTTTGGAGTATATGTGGAAGCCATTTGGTATAAAACTAATTCAACCTGACCTTGTTTTTCCAAAAGGGCCTGACATGGCCAGCTGAGCATGCATTGTACATCTGTCCCAAAGACAAGAATGATGCCCTTAGAGATAGGGACATAACTTCCCCCCATATTGGCATTTCTTTAAGGATAAGCATCTCTTCTTGGAAACTAAGGATTAATTACCGACCTACTGTGCTCACCTTGTGACCACTTACCCGCTGACCACTAACCTCCTGTGCCAGCTAAGCATCTCGTCACAGTAGTAAGAGATATTCCTGTCATATGTGATGTATGCGCTTTGTTCCAAGATGGTATATAACCAGTCTATACACCCCACTTCTTTGGTGCCCTTCCTTCCCTGGGGAAGGAGGGCCCTGGGCTATAGTCCTCAAACTTGGCTCATAATGAACTCACCCCAATTTTGATTTATAGACTGATTATGCATTATTTGCTTTGACAAGGAAAAGGGCAGTTTTAGTTTTTAGTGATTCCAAGTCAGAAGGGTGGTAGAACATTGGAAATGTTACTTTGGAGAGTTGTAGCCAGATATTAGAGGAAACTAGAAGAATTCAGGATTCAGTCCAGTTTGCAAGTAGATAACAAAATCTCAAAGACAGTGAACAAGACTAGATTCTGATAATGGATACAATATAATTTTCTACTGAAATACAATTTTTCTCTCTATAACAACCCCATTTTCAACAAAGACAATCACAGTAATATTAATTTGTTTATAAAATAAGTCTAATCTCATTAAATGGTCCTGGTAATTTACATGAGTGCAGCAAGAATAGTGATTTATAGACATTTTAAAATATGATATTTCAATGGGCTTTACGGGCTCCATAAAGTTAACTTTAGTTTCTTAAAATTGTCTGGTGATAAAGAATCTCAGATTAGATTTTTAAAAGTCTCTTTAGGCTAAGAAGCATGAAAGTTCAGTGAGATTCAAAGTGAGTACACAAGTTCAAAGATAACATTGTTAAGAATTTCAAGATGGCAGCAGAGCATTAAACCAAGTGCGAAGCCCTTCTGAGCATGGGGCTCATAGCACAAAGTGAGCATGTCATGGAAGCCATTTAGTGAGCATCCTCAACACTATATGGCAATGGGGCAGCAAGAGACAGGGATGGACATACATATTGCATGTATCTTATCTGTTCATGTGTGTGCTCCATTGTCTCATCAGACTTCACTTACAAATCACAAGCTCAAACATAAATTATTAACCATTTTGATATGGCAACAGAGCATTAAACCAAGTGCAGGGCCATTCTGAGCACAGTTAGCATACCCATGAAGCCAGCCCTGCTCTCACTTTCTATTTCATACCCTCTGGCCTTGAGCAATAAAAAAATCTCTCTGCTCCTTCCTTCTTGATGCTTCTGCACAAATGAGCCACACTACTCAGTGGTAGTAAACTGAGGACTAACAGAGGTGATCTGGTGGACAACACTTGGAGAACAAGTTGTTGGTTGGAGAAGGATGTTCTAATCTCTTCCCCTCAAGCCAAGAAGGCCTAAGGTGAGGCCTAGACTAGAGTGAGGATCTAAATGTTAGTTACCTTAAGAAAAGAAATCTACATAATGAATTGAATGCTTAAATTCTAAGTAATTGTTTACGTTTCATTTACTCATTCTTTTATTGTCCCAGTGAATATGTACTGACTTACTTCAAATTGCTAAATAGATGCTGAAGATTTAACTATGAACACACACATACAGTTCTTACCCTTATGCAACTTGAATAAACAGGCAAAGAACGGCAAGTCAGTGCCACAACGAGTACCAAGGGTAAAGAGCACAGCACTAAGGAAGTACAAAGCAGGCTATTAGGTGGCTTTGGGGACAGATAAGGCCTTCTGGAAGAATTCGCCTCTACAATCAGACCTGCAGCGAGAATAAGAGTATGTCGGAACCAAGGAGAGGAAAGACCGTTCTTAACAAATAGAACAGCATGGGCAAAGCAGCAAGAAAGAAAAGAAGAGGAAAATTCAGAAGAGGTGGAACCAAGAACCATGGAGCTCTTTAAGGACCAAATCTTAAGGTGTTTGAACTTCATCTTAAATGCAGTGGGGATCCCTTTAAGAGTTTCATATTCAATCATATTTGCTTTGTCAAAACGTCACTCTACAAAGAATATAACAGAGAGCCAGCCCCGTGGCTTAGCGGTTAAGTGCGTGCGCTCCGCTACTGGCAGCCCGGTTTGGATCCTGGGGGCGCACCAACACACCGCTTCTCCGGCCATGCTGAGGCCGCGTCCCACATACAGCAACTAGAAGGATGTGCAACTATGACATACAACTATCTTCTGGGGCTTTGGGGGGAAAAAAGGAGGAGGATTGGCAATAGACGTTAGCGCAGAGCCAGTCTTCCTCAGCAAAAAGAGGAGGATTAGCATGGATGTTAGCTCAGGGCTGATCTTCCTCACAAAAAAAAATATAAGGGAGTGGAGCCTGCCATCAGAGTAGATACTGGAGCAGTTCATAGAAAGAGATTAAGTAGTTGACTGGATTAGGGGATCAGAAAATAGTGGGATTTGGACGTGAGAAATACTTCGAAAGTAGATTTGACAGGACTGGGTGAGTGAGTGCATGTGGAAAGGCTACCGGAGGAGAAAGATTCCATACGGAAGATTCCCCAGACTTCTCGGTGGGTAACTGGATGGATGCTGATGCCATTTCCTGAGGGTTAAAGAACCAGAGGTAGCTGGGCGAAAAGAACCTGAGGTTGAATATTTCAGATACCTGCAACTTCTCTGATACTATCCCGTTAACCCAAAATTTGCTCCCATTTTGGCTTTACTATCCCTAAAAGCTGCCTCCCTGCAGCAGGTTGACTGCTTGGGCAGGCAACCACCCAAGGAGAGTCTTCTCACAAGAGGGAGCCCCTGAGCACAACCTCGAAGATGAGAACCTGCAAGAGTAAAGAAACAGGAAGCTTTCGAACGCCCTAAAAGAAACCCCTCTTAAAGGTCTCGGAGCGGCTCCACCCCTAAAAGCCAACAACCCGGGGTAGAAAACCGCCGGCAGGTCCACAGGGGCTGACAACTGGCTCCGCCCTCTCAGCGAGGCGGGCGGTGGATGCCCGGATGCGGATCCTCGGAGAGAGAGCGTCACGTGACGCCGCCCGGCGGGGCGGGGCTCTACCTGCGTCGGCGGCTGCGCCGTCGCATCACGTGACCGCCTCCCATCCAGCCAATGGGTGAGCGCGGCGGAGCATTTCGAATGTGATCGCGGTAGTCGGCGGGCGACGGGAGACGGTGCCTGAGAGCTGCAGGGCCCGGAGCGCGGGGCACACACGGCCGCACAGCCTCGCGGAGCCTTGGAATGTGAGGAGCAGCTGCGGCAGACGTGGAGGCCAAGGTACGGTTGTAGACGCATCTGTGGGAGGCGGGTCCCCGGGTCCTCTTCCGGCAGTCCCTCCCCCTCCCCGCATTCCCGGAGCCCCTTGGAGAAAGAGGAGGCCGCAGGTTTTTCCGGTCTGGAACAGAGGCGTCGTAACCCCGGTTCTTCTTCCCTCAGGGGTCTCTTTGTCGTCCCTAAGTTCGGTGGCCAAAAGCTCAGGCTGTGGAGTCGGACTGACCGGGTGCCTTTCTCTGCTCGGCCCCCCGACCTGCGCTTTCCGATGCTCCAGTTTCCTGTTCTGTTAAATAACTGGGGACCCAAACCTCCTGCCGTGCAGAATGGTGTGAGTTACGTGACGTGTAAGAGAGCATTTACAGTAGTTAGAAGCCAGGCTCAGCGTAAGGGCACGCGAAGCGGCAGCTAGTTTTTGTGCGGCGCGATCCCGTTGACGGCCTTCCCTTTGGCTTCCCCGGTTCCCCTGGAGCAGCCGGCACTGACCGGTGTCCAGCTGGCTGCCTCAGCCGCAGGAGTGATGAAAGAATCATGACAGAGAGCAAATATTCTAGGTTCTTTTGAATCCAGACCGCTTACCCCAGTACTATGGATTGAGACTGCCCTCCCGCGCTGTGACCTGTTTTCATTCGTTCTCTCCACCACACCCCCTGTTAACACCGTCGGCCTAGACAGGACTCAGAGCTTCCGATACTGCAAATTCCTTTTGTGATTTTAAGTTGATTAAATGAAAGTTTTTTAGCTAAGTCTTTGCTTTTAAAATATGTTAACTAAACTTCCCTAACTAAACTAACTTGATCAGTTACTTGATCTGTATGGCTCTCAAACATCTCGAGTTCGAACTTGAAAAACTCTGTTGTGGTACGTTGCTTTAGACAACCCACTTGACATTGGTGCTTTAAAAAAATTGTTGTGCTTGCTCTACTGGGAACATCCCAGTGTATATTGTATCTACATTGGCAGAAAGAAAATAATTTAAATGAGATCTACAATATCTATGTTTAAGATCCCAGACACTACATAGAGGAATGTGAGTAAGGCCTGGAGAAAATGCTCAAGAAAATGTAAGGTTCGGGAGGAGATGGAGGTATCCTTTGTAGTGAAAATTGTATACACAGATTGTTGTAGGAAACAAGAATTATTTTTTGCAATTTTAAGATCTGCCAAGTGCAATTTAGGGTAAAAGATGTTCATGAAAAGTAATTTGACATGCTTAGTAGCAGAATACTGAAGTGTATCTGATTTGCATCATTGAAAGATTTAGGTATACTTATATATTAATATATTCAATAGCATATACCACTGTCAAATGCATGTTTTGCTACTTTTAACTGTATGTATAACAGTCATTAATTAATGTCTTGTTTGCTGTATTCATGATTCACTGGGAGTTAGCAGACCTGAGTTTAAGAAATAACTTTGAGAAAACTGGCATGTTCTTTTGCCCCAGTACCTGCTTTTTCTAGCTCTATAATTGTTATAATAGACTATTAAAATTATATGTAGTGCTACATAATTTAACTAAACCACTGAAGATCACCTTGACTTTCTTAAGAGTGTGTGGATATCTTAAGTAATATTGGGTTAAAAGAGTGTGGGGGAGAGAGAGAGGTTAAAAGAGTGTGGGGGAGAGAGAGAGGTAATAAGTGACCTAATCTGATAAATTAATAATATAGAGAAGAACTGGAAAACAAAGCCCAGATATATGATTGCCTCTGAACTAATGCTGTGAGCCTAATAAACACTAAACGTTGGTCATAAACATTGTCTGTAGGAAATAAATAATAACATCAAAATATATTAAGCATTTCCCATAGTGCCTGGGATATAGTAAGTCCCAATGAGTATTTGTTAAAGAATAAATAAGTGCCATATTACAAGTCTTTGGGTTGAAAACCCATATTTATTACACCTTCCCTATAATGTACCTGAGGAGGCTAATATTATGCCAAAAATATTGAGATTTAAAATCTGCAAGATCTAGCTTATTACCAGATTAGCTATCTACTTTGAGCTAACTCAGCAGTTACTTAGTCTCTATTTAATCCATTCTTCATGAACATCCTGTGTTTTCAATCTTGTTTTATATTCGATGATATTCTCTCTTAGAAAGATTAAATATTTTTTTGTTGTTTTGAATTCCTAGGCAGAAAATGGCCAAGGAAAGGTGCCTGAAAAAGTCCTTTCAAGATAGTCTTGAAGACATCAAGAAACGAATGAAAGAGAAAAGGAATAAAAACTTGGCAGAGATTGGCAAACGAAAGTCTTTTATAGCTGCACCATGCCAACTAATCAGTAAGAGATTTTCTTGTTGTCCTTTGGCATCACTCTTTAAGTTTAGATTTAATAACTAATAAAATTTCTTTTCTCTTTTTTAGCCAACACTTCTACACTGCTAAAAAACTACCAAGACAACAACAGAATGTTAGTTTTAGCTTTGGAAAATGAAAAATCCAAAGTGAGAGAAGCCCAAGATATTATCCTACAGCTGAGAAAAGAATGTTACTACCTCACATGTCAGTTATATACATTGAAAGAAAAGCTTACTTCACAACAAACAGAAGAATTTGCTCAGGTATTTTCATTACAAAGGCTGAATTTCTTAGGAAAAAATATTAAAGCCATGAATTAGTAGTTTAGATCAATTATGTTATTTAAATTACTGATAGCTTGTTATTTGTGAATTAATCATAACATCTGTCCAGTGCTCTAGCACAGCTGTTGTGTGCGGCCAGTTAAGAAAGCTTCAAGCATATAGGTGATTGAGGCTTGTGCTTGTATAACTTGGTTCTGCAGGTAGCAAGACGAGGTACAGAAAAAATAGTTCAGCCTTTTGCACTGTATTCCACTTCCTCTGAATGTTCAACTAAGTGAGTCAAAGATGGGGCAACCAAACTAAAGGTCTAAAAGTGGTAGGGGAAGAGGACTAGTCCAGAAGGTTTTATCAGTGCTATAAATGTTAGCTTTTCTATGTAGTTTTGCTACATCCAGTGGGGTTTTATGAGAACTACCTTAATTTGGAGAGTGGGAAGTATTTGCATGCCTTTTGGAGAATCACTTTTACCTACTAGTTGGCTAAATAAGGAAGACTATATATTAACTCCCAAACGAGAAATATCCTGAACGTTTTGCTGTCAACATTTTTAATCTGATTCTGTTTATGTCCAAGGTTGTATAGAGGGCCAACGAAACTATAATAGACGTGGAGAAAGCTCGATTTACGATATTCTTTGTGTCTCATTGAACGTTAATCCTGAGAAGAGTAGTGATGAGCTAGTTTCTCCTTTCCTTTTCCCAGAAGCCACTGCCAGGCAAGCTACATGGGGCAGGGAAAGAGAAAAGCAGTAGTGAGTGTCAGGTGTTAACAGAACAGTTTACTTTCTTCCTGGGTGGCCATCTGTTTGCTGTGCCAGTGAACACAGTTGTGTTGGCACTTAGGCCAGGAGACCAGAGCAGAAAGCCAGACCATAGTAATTAGGGTAGGGGTATGGACTTGAGGAAGGGATTCAAGTCACCTCTCCATTGACAGGAGGGGTCAGTGAAAGAGTTCTTGCTTCCCTGCAACTAAGGTGATTCCATATTTTTTCTATGTATGCTATATAGAATGTATATTCATGTGTGTTTATATATATACACACATACATACATATATACACATAAATGCAATATATACATATACAGTGTAATAGAGAATTGTCTTTTTATAAAGATTGGATATGATTTCTTTACCTTTATGTGAGGGTTAGATTGCTTTTAAAAATTTTTTTCCTTCAGAATGTAATCTTTCCTAATTTTTTTCTTTTCCTTTTTTGGTCAACTGGTGAGGAAAAAAATCCCTCCAAAGACTTTTGAATCTTCCTCTTCCCTTTCCAAAGTTTTTGCTGAAATTACACATTGAATAGTGTGAAATGAGTACCCAATAAGATAATCACAAAAACGGTAGGGAAAAAATTCTCTTATTGCAGGCCTTTTGACATTTATCAATGATTTTTGAGTATTTATTAAAACATATTGTTAGTTGCTGGGCAAAAGTGTTCTTAGCATTTAAAACGTCAGAGTTGGTTTTCTGCCATATACTTGTTACATGTGTCACTCGTTCTCAGCCATCATTCTACACTCGTGCTTCCATGTTTATCAAGTCAATAGAGCATTGATGGAGAAGCTTAAAATGCTTTAAGAAGAAGATTTTTCTTGCCTACCAATAGTTAGTTTATAAGGATTAATCAGAATGTAATATCTAAAAGCTATTTGTTCCCTAAATTTTGTAACAGATCTTTTTAATAATTTGTTTTTGAATTACATCATTCTGTAGTTAAATATTCTCCTTTATTTACCTTTATTATTTCTTTAGTGATAATACTAGTTTTATAACATTAGCTATATTGATAATAAATTTAAAACTTCTAGTGGTTTTGTTTCTGATGAACAGTTTTAACCTATTCATTATAATGTCAGCAAATTATATGTGCATCACATTTCAAAAAACAACTGAACTGAGTTAGAATGACTTCTAAGGAATTAGGCTGGAACTCTCATCTTCCTAATACAGATCTACAGATCTGCCTGTGTCTCTACTTGTGTTCTCCCTCTTCCTCCTGTTGCAGTGGCAGAAGTGTCCCTGCTCCTGTCAAAGGCCAAGCCCTCCCCTTGTCCATCACATTCCCTTCTTCACCTCTCCTGCAGGATTTTGCTCCTGAAAGTTTTCACTCTCCTCCAACATGTATCTCCCTCTCTACTGAATCATTCTAGCTGTCATACAAATGTGCTTTAGTATCTCTTATCTTAAGAGGAAAAGAAAATGAATGACACCTCTCCTGATCTCACATCCCTCCATCTCCTCATTTCTCTGCTTCACAGCAGAACTTTTCCAGAGAGAACAGTGCACCTACCGTCTTCACTTCCTCAGCTTCCATGCACATTTTTGTTGTTGTTGTTGTTTATTGCAGTAACATTGGTTTATAACATTGTATAAATTTCAGGTGTACATCATTATACTTCTATTTCTGCATAGATTACATCATGTTCACCACCCAAATACTAACGACAACCCATCACCACACACATGTGCCGAATTACCCCTTTCGCCCTCCTCCCTCCCCCCTCCCCCATTCACATTTGAACTCACTCTTATCTGGCTTTTATCTCCACCATTCTATTGCCACTGTGCCAAGTTCCCCAAAACCTCTGTGTTACTGAATTCAGTATTCATATCTCTTTCTTCTTGGCCTTGAAGTAACATATAACACAGGAATTACTCCTTGTTTGAAATACTTTGATCTCTTAGCTTTCTTACCATCATACTCTCCTAGTTTTCTTTCTACCTTGCTGACTGTTCCATGTCAGTCTTTTTTGTTGGCTGCTTCTTTACTTGTCAGTGTCAATTGTCCTAGACCCAATCTCATCTTATCCCCGGCAATAGCTTTAAATTCTGTCTATCTGCTGGTGACTTCCAAATTTATAGCTCAGGATCTACACATACACACACACACCCACGGCTACTACTTGATATATCCTCTTAAACATTTGTAAAGGATCTCAACCATATTTTGTACAAAGCACAACTCTTTATTTTCCCCCTCCCAAAGGTATTGTGTACTTCTGCCTCCCTCTGTCTCACTCATCTCAATAAAACATCCTACCCATTTGCTCAAGTCAAAACCATAAGAGGTTTCCCTCTCCCTCATTGTCCCCACTTCCACCTGTGTTCAATCTGAGCACACTTTGTCATCTCAAGACCTTCCTCTGGGCTTCACCTCCATAGCCATAGGACTCCAGTCCGAGCTCATATGTCTTGCTTGATTTACTGTGATGACTGCCTACCTCCTTGGCCCCTTTCAATCCATGTTTCACACAGTGGCTGGAATGCTCTTTTTAAAACTTAGTCATTTTGCTTCCCTGGTTAATGTTTAAGTGACTTCCCATCACATGTAGACTAAAATCCAAATTCATGGCTCTCAAGGCCCTACATTATCTGGCCTCTGCATGCACATCTCCTCCTGTTCTTCTCAGTGACTATGTTCCAGCCACAATGGCCTTTCTTTTCTGAACACAGCAAGGTTTTTCTTACATCATGACTTATGTGTTTGCTGTTTCCACTGCTTTCTCTTCCACCTGCTCTTTCAATGGCTGCTCCTTTGCATTCTTTAGATTTCAGATGAAAGTCACTCCATCTAAAAGAGCCCTCCAACCTCAGTTACTCTCTGGCACTTCACCCTGCGTATTTCCTCCATAGCACTTATCACTATCTGAAATTATTTATATCTCTCTTTCCTTTCTTTTTTAAATTTTCTCTCCCTACACTAGAATGTAAGCTCTTTTTTAAATTTTCTCTCCCTACACTAGAATGTAGAGCAGGACTTAATCTATTTTTTAGCCGCTATAGACCCAGTTCCCAGAACAGTGCCTGGCACCATAGTAGACTGTCAATATGTAAGTATTTATTGTTGAATAATGAATGCTTTGTCATGAAGGTTTCAGTTGTAACAGTGTTTTCTTTGTTTTAATACATTAACAGAACCAAGAAGTATGTCTCTCTGGAATGGATTCCAATAGTGACAACAACTCTGGGGATTTATTTGTGAAGGATTTACCGTTAGTATCAAACTCATTCTTCTGATTATTAATACCAAGAAAGATTTAATTATATGATCCATTTATGAAAGGAAAATTGCATCATATTGACTTTTGTATATTGACTCTGATGTTCTCTCTACTGAGAATATATTTAAGAAAATTTGATACGTTGAAATTCTGTTATATATAACCAAGCCAAAGATTTCTTATATTTAGTTACTTTTTGTGTGTGTGTGTGAGGAAGATCAGCCCTGAGCTAACATCCATGCTAATCCTCCTCTTTTTTTTTTTTTTTTTTGCTGAGGAAGACTGGCTCTGAGCTAACATCCACTGCCAATCCTCCTCCATTTTTTCCCCAAAGCCCCAGTAGATAGTTCTGTGTCATAGTTGCACATCCTTCTAGTTGCTGTATGTGGGACGTGGCCTCAGCATGGCCAGAGAAGCGGTGCGTCAGTGCACGCCCGGGATCCGAACCCGGGCCGCCAGTAGCGGAGCACGCACACTTAACTGCTAAGCCACGGGGCCGGCCCTATTTAGTTACTTTTTTGATGTCTAGGAATAAGAAGCTTCTCTGGAATTTTTAAACTATTCCCTTCAGTTATATTTTTCTTGCATCATGTTTTTATTCTAAGAAGGATTGTCTATTCAATGATAGTATTTTGCCAGTACTCAAATAGTCTGGTTTAGAAAAGGAATATAATAAAACATTATATTTAACACAGCTGTCACACTGTCTGTCTAATCCAATTCATTCTTAAATGCAATCAGACCCCATATACCCTCTTCCCCTTCTCTTGGATCAAGTGTACTTTATTTGTTTGCTTATGAATTACTGAGATATAATTACATAGAGTAAAATGCACAGATCTTAATTACACAGTTTGATGAGTTTGACCAACACTAGTCAAAACTATGGAACTGTTGTCCCTACCTGTGGAACCAAAATCTCCATTAAGATATAGAGCCTAGCCCTCACTCTGGCCCAGGGTTTCTCAGTCTTAGCACTATTGAAATTTTGGGCCAGATTATGCTTTGTTGTGGAGGGCTGTCCTAAGCATTGTGGGATATTTCACAGCATTCTTGGCCTCTACCTACTAAATGCCAGTAACACCCCCCCTCCCAGTTTTGAGAACCAAAAATGTCTCTAGACATTGCCAAATATCCCCTGCGGGGGGTGGGGAGGCATAATTGTCCCCAGGTAAGAACTACTCCCATAAACCATTCCCTCGTGTCTCCTCGCAAAAGTAATCACTAATATGATTTCTATCCCCATATTAATTTTAATCATGAGTAGTTTTAACACTGTTGAACTTTAAGATCTGACGGAATATTTTCGTAATTGGCAAAACGTAAGATGAGATAATTGAGTTTTTATACAATTTCTAAAATTGTTGTTACCTGGTTACCATAACACTGTTACCTAAACCTGTATTTAATTTTTGATGGCTAGAGGGGAAAATTCTCTATAGAAAATAAAGAATAAAATTATAATTAGAATGAAACAGCCAGTGATAGTATTAAAGCATAAAGAAAATTTCTTCTTCCATGAACCAAAAAGGGACAAGATTTTTAAAGAAAATGAACAGTGTTAACTTCAGAGGAGTCAGTAGTTAGGCACCATAAAAGCATGTACTACCAAAAAAATCACTGCTCAGCTAATGATAAAGCAGGCTCCTAACGGGTTGAGTGATCAAACTGCATTTCTTTAATATAGTTTATAAGTCAATTCTGATTGGCTGTTTCTCCAGTGAAATGAAATTATGTTATGGCATGTTTTCAGGAGGAACTGTCCAATTTGATATGTTAGTTCTTCCAGTGGGAGTTGAAATGTCTGTCGGTCATAACAAATCAGCCTCCACGTATTCAGCATGAATGTTTTTGGTTTCCTTTGGTTCAGAACAGATGTACTGATTTAGAATGGAATTATCAAATGATATAAAAGCAAAGGAAAAAACTTAATTTTAAGAAATCTTAAATTTGTTTTTATTACACAGTTGTTAAATAAATTTCTCTTTTTCATTGGTATTTTCTAAGGCAAGTTCCTCTTCAGGAAACTCACCTTCCAGGACAAGGAGAATCGTTCCAAATAGAAGGTAATTCAAGTGAAAATCTAAAAATATTATTAAGGGCAAGATGAGATCTTTGAGAACAAGTAACATAATTAAATTTCTCTAATTTTTTTTTTTTAATTTTTAAAATTTGCTCATCTGGTATTTTTCTGTTCAAAGCAAATCTGTTTATTTTACACAAAATAACATTTTCAACTACATCCATTTATTTTGCCAAATTTGTAATCAGAAACCTATAACTGGCTGCAATTCACTGAGCCCTACTATGTGTCAAGCTCTGTATTATGCATTTTATGTACATTATCTTACGTACCCTCATAACAACCCTGGAATATAGGTACAATCAGTCCCATTTTATGTGGACTCAAAGAAGTAAAGTTATCTCACAAGAAGTAGCCCAGATGGTAAGAGCTAGCATTTAAACTCAAAGCTGACCTCTAAAGCCATGGCCTTCTTTCATTTTTAAATTGATATGTCCCTGTTCTCAAATACCAGTCCTCTCTTGAACTAAGCATTAAAGAAGGGATGGCATTTGCATAAGCAGAACAAAGTGTCCTCACTTTTCCTAATAATACAGATTATATTTCTTTTCTGAAAGGCTTTCCAGTTATCCCAGTCTTACTCATTTTTCAAAGAACAACTTAGCTCCCACTTTCTTGGTGTATTTGTCCTACTTTGGAATATGAGATTCTCTTCCTCTTAATCCTATACACACAGATACATGTAGACTACTAGTTTTTCTTTAAACCGTTAAACCAGGGGGCACATAAAACCCAAGTTGGAATATTTTTGAAGGTTATATAAGATTTTTTCACAGTCAGATATAAGCCATCAGTTGATCATTGCCAAATAAATAGATAATAATATTAAATTCCCCAGATTTTTATTTACTTACAGTAAATGTGGGGAAAATACAGAATGACTTTTCATTCATTGCATTTTTAACTTTGAATTCTAAGATTCTTGAAATTTAAATTTCCATAAAGTGAAACTGTTTTTCTCATTTATTTTTTGAATTCTCAGAGCAAATACCTACCATTCCTCCAGACAGACTGAGACTTGATTTGGATTCAGGTGAAGATAAGTCTACTGATAATGTCTTACCTAGAACTGTATCTCTCCGTCGCAGTTTAAAGAAACGTTTTAACAATCTGTGTCAATTCAATACCTTGGATGATTTTGAACTCAGTCATTTGTCAGAGCAGTCTTTTGAATTAGAAAGAATTAGATTTGTAGACCCACTAATAAGTATGCACATACCTGAAAATGTAGAACAAAATGTTTCTCAGTGGAACAAGGATCAAATTAACTTATCACCAAAGCTCACTCACCCAGGAAGATCTACTAAAACAAAAGAAGACGTTTTAGAGTATAAATCTGAACAAACTGAAAGTAAGCATAGAGATGCACAAGGAAGAAGAAGAAAAGAGAAAAGAAAAGCTAACAGAAGGAGAAAATCAAAATCTATATCAAAGTATAAATGGAGCAAAAGTGAAAATAAAAAAACTGTTTCCAAAAAAAAGTTGGATGAATCTTTCACTTCCAATGATGCTTACAATTTTAATTTGGAAGAGGGTGTTCATCTCACTCCTTTCCGACAAAAAATGAGCAGTGATTCTAAAAGAGAAGAAACCAAAAACAGTGAATCTGAAGTGAGCATTTGTGAATCAGCTGGTTCTGAATCAAGTGGTTCAGGAGATGATTCTGATGACCTCTATTTGCCCACTTGCAAGTCCAGTCAAGATCTCACCAACGAATCAGATAGGGGCCCAGTCACCAGGCCTCGATCTAAAAGAGCACCAAAATATACGGATGAAAAAGAGACGGAGGGTTCTAAGCCAACAGAAATTCCTCCTAGTAAGTGATCTCCTTGTTTGCCTACATTTTTAATGTTTATGATAAATGATCGCTCCTGATGCTTATGTACTATACTTAACCATCTGTTTCTCTGGGGGAGCTTAGAGACTTACCATCTGTCTCTTTAGGGGAAGTTGCAATCTGATTAAATAGTGGGGGGCTGGGGGTGGAAATCACAGTTGGGTTGCTCTGACCTGCTTTAAGCTAATTTAAATCCTCTTTTAAGAACAAATACTACTTGTTATGGAGAGAGCATTTTTACTTTCAGGAAATGAAGCCTTCCAAAGTGAGGAAAAGACATTTTTGTGGAGTTAGGTTGAATTAAAATATCTTTTCTACATTCACCTGAAAATCCTCTTGAAAATGAAATCAAACTTGAATCCAGTGACCTGTCATTTTAATGGCTTTGCTTTATATTCAATTTGGCAGGAACCATGATTTACAATAATTTTCTAGTTAGTGGAGGTGGCCTAATAAGACCAAAAACTTTTTCCTCAATTCATGGGCTTAGTATTCTTTTGTAAGACATTTGTAAGACATCTAAAACTGTGGCTTAGAAAATCTTGCTTTTATTAGTTAGATCAAAAGTAGGCATGATTCAAATATCAATGATATGGCCTGTACCTGCCCACCAAGATTCTCATCTGGGAATTGTAGTTAGTATAGTAAAAGTAACCTACACAGTCAGGTTGTATCATTCTCAAAATATTGTCATGCTGTTTCATTTGATCTTCAGAACAATTCTATGAGGTGTAGGTGTCATCATACTTGTTTTGTTTATAAGGAAACTAAAGCCTAAAAAAGTTAAATGACCTTTTCAAGGTCAACCAGTTAGGGGGTGGTAGCATGCAAATATCTTTTTAAAAAATATGCTGAAATGATGTTAGAGTAAATTAAACAAGATTGGCAAAATGTTGATAATTATTGAAGCTGGGAAACTGGGAGTTCATTATACTGTTATCTCCATCTTTGTGTACACTTGAAAATTTCTATAAGTTTTTAAAAGAAAGAAAATACACTCTAAAATGGCGTTACTCAGAGTTTGGTCCCCAGACCATCAGCAATACCTGGAAACTTCTTAGAAATGCAGAATCTCAGGCCATACCCCACACCCTTGAATCAGAATCTGCATCTTTTTAACAAGTTCCTCCAGGGGATTTGTATGTACATTAAAGTTTGAGAAGCATTGTTCCAGAATATAGCAACTGATCTGATATTTTTGCTTAATCTTATTTTCCAAACTGAAAGTTGGAATAATTAGTATAGTATAATATGCTTATATGAGGACAGAATATTTGAAACCCAGATAACCCTGGACAATATGATTGCTAAATATGAAGTCATTTTACAATTACAATTTAGTTTTTCCTGGGAAACGATTTACTTTTTAAAGCTATTTGAAGAGATCATTTGTCTTGCAGTGTCCTTGCTATGTGCTGGCTACCTGTCTCCCAATATGGATGTAACCTCAATGTAGAGTAACTTGGATGCTTATGATATGCAAAACATTTTAGCCTACTAGCCTTACTAGAGGGAACCCCTTTTCTCCTGGTTTACACAGAGGCTATGATTTAGAATTCTCATTTATTTAATAGAATGAGTTTAAGTCAGTCTTGAGCTTTGTAAGACTACAGGAAGCCACTTGATGATAAACGTTGGTATTGAGAGAGATAGAGGCCTTGATGATTCTAAAGAGCAAGGTGTGACTAAAATGAAATTCCATAGTTTAAGTTAATTCATTATGCCCAAGCTATCCTAGAAGAATTTTAATTTTTTTTAATTTTTAAGAATTTTTTGTGTGTGTGTGAGGAAGATCAGCCCTGTGCTAACATCTGCCAATCCTCCTCTTTTTTTTCTGAGGAAGACTGGTCCTGGGCTAACATCCATGCCCATCTTCCTCCACTTTATATAGGACGCTGCCACAGCATGGCTTGACAAGCGGTGCATAGGTGCACGTCCGGGATCCGAACTGGCGAAGCCCGGGCCGCCGCAGTGGAGCACACGCACTTAACCACTTGCGCCACCAGGCTGGCCCCTAAGAATTTTAACTTTAGTCAACTGTTATGTCAGTTCTTCACATCTACAATAATTAATATTTCAATGTTATCTGCAATGAAAAAATGAACAGGTTACAAAATTTATATGATAAAATGCTGGATTTTGTATACATTTAGGATATGTAATTGCATACAGTTTTAGTTCCTGTGATTTTTTTTTTTTTTTTGGAACCATATTCAGTAAAAATTGTTTTTGTAGGTGTACTACCTGAACCTCACCAGTCACCTCATTGTGGCCTGAAGGATATCACCAATGTCCCCTTGGATCCTGTAGTGAAAATCAGAAAACTTTCTCTTTCCCCAAAAAAGAATAAAGAAAGCCCCGCAGTATCTCTGCCTAAGCGTAGGTGCACAGCCAGCGTGAACTACAAGGAACCCACACTCGCTTCGTAAGTATTTGATTTGTGGGAACTCACTTTTAATGATACATGTTGGGAGAGTAAGGTTATGGAGCTTTGTTCAAGAGTGAGTCTTATTTGAAATATAAAATTTTGATGAAAAACTGAAGTGGGAATATTAACACTGGCATATTTTACAATGAGTTTATACTAAGAGTAAGTTAGTATTGGGATGCTTATAATTATGCCTAAGAGCTCTTTTTACCCTTATAGGAAACTGAGAAGAGGGGACCCTTTTACAGATTTGTGCTTCTTGAATTCGCCTATTTTCAAGCAGAAAAAGGATGCCAGACACAGTTCTAAAAAAAGAAGTATGAAGAAAATACAATGAAGCGTTTGTTGGATGCTGTTTAAATTCATCTTACACCCCTTTCTGTTGCTCAAGCGAGAATCTGAAAGATAGTACACAAGTGGGTTGAACTATTGCCATGGAATATTCTCTTGACAGGACTCTAGATCATGAACATTTCTTCGAAACTAAACTTCAAATGTGATTTTTTTCTTAAACCTTTAATAAATTTGGTTTTTTCCTTTAAATATGGATAACTAGACTTAAGCACTATAATAGTTTAGATTTTTTAATACTGCATAAAACCCTTAATTTTAGTCAAAATGTATCTTATGCCAACATTGTGAAAATTAATAATGATTATTCAAATTAAGATGTTTTGATTATAAGCTTCTGGCATCTTTATTTTTCCCTTAAGTGGGGAATACTAGAATGAATGATTTTTGAAGACAGTCTGAGGATTTTTTGAAACTCCTTATATAATATTTGAATAAAACAAATTCTTGACATTCACAGTAGGGTATATCCTAAGTTGTTTGTGGATCCTTTATATCATTGTTAAATTTAATTTTTCTGGTGAAGTGTGTATGAGATCACGATTAGAGAATTGATGGCTGCTTTGGCTCAGGGACTAGGTAAGTGACTAGCTCTGAACCCCAAGCTCTAGGTGTATGTTCAACGTGATACTTAAGCAAAATCACAGATTATTATGTCATAGACTTTCAGGATAGTTCCTTATTTAGTCAAAAATCTCAAACGTTAAATGTGTGAATGCCAAGGGCTTTTTTGTATTTTTGATCGACCTATGAGAAGGAACTAGTTCAGTTCTAAAAGTTTGAAGCCTATACTTGTATATACTTCTTTAAACTTTAAAGCACTGTAGGTTATCCATTTTTAAAGAGCAATAAAGTTTGTATAAGACAGTGCTTGTGTTCTTCTTCTAGTCTTTAAATATTAAAGATAGAATATCTCTGATCATCTTACTTTCTATCCTTCACTATTCTCATCCTTGCACGTTTCTCTCCCTCCACCTTGGTTTCCCCAATAGTCATTGCCATGAAACTCTCAGCTCCCCTACCGTACTCTCAACCTAACACTTCTGTCTTTCAACTTTTCATTGTGGAATCTCCAGGTCCATGATCAACAAATTCTGTTTTACTGGGTGACCTCAATTTTCAATCCTGACCTCAAATTTTCTTGACTGCATCTCCATATCTTTCTGCATTCCATATCAATCACACCCAAAAACGTTTTCATCAGCCAAAATTTTCTATCCCTGATAGAATCACGGATTCATATGTCCTACTCTCCCATCACAGTCTCTTATTTTTCCAAGTTGTTTGTTCAACCATTTCCCTTACAGCTGTTCTTTAAATTCAAAGAAACTCTAGAATAGCTGTCGTAACTTAATTAAGATTAAATACAATTTACAATTTAATTTCTCAGTCACACTATCCACCTTTCAAGTGCTCGACAGCCACATGTGGCTAGTGGTTACCATATCGGGGACAATGCAGATATAGAGCATTTCCATGACCACAGAAAGTTCTGTTGGACAATGCTGCTTGAGGTTAACAGTGGGCAAACTAGCCCATGGGCAAAATTCAGCCCTCTGCCTGCTTTTGTGTGATCTGCAAGCTAAAAATGGTTTTTATGTTGTTAAATGGTTGAAAAAAACCAAACACTTGCTATCAATTTTGATGATAGAAAACACTAACTTTGAACCCCAATAAAGTACTTACATAATATCCTTGATTTTGCCTCTTTGGCCTGCAAAGCCTAAAATATTTATTCTCTGGCCCTTTACCGAAAAAGTTTGCCAACTCCTGCTCTAGACCATCGACTGCCTTTACTTTTACTTATAGATCTTTCTCTTCTGACATTTTCTGATCTAGCTTTGATCTTCACCTTCCCTTCATCTCTAAAATCAATCATTATTCTAAATTTGGTGTTTTGTACTTTTATAGTTTTTGTACTTTTAATATTTCTGTATTCCTGTAGCATTTATCCATGGACTGTTAAGAATTGTTTTGTATTTTAACCTTCTACATGAATGTTATGTTGTACATATCTTTTTGCAGCTGACTTTTAACACTGTTTTTGAGATTTATCTGTGTTGGCAGATGTAGATTATTTTCGTCGTTGTACAGTATTTTCTTATATAAATAAACCAGACTTAATCTTCTCTTCAGAGAAGTTGCTTCCACTTTTTCATTACTACAAATTAGTGCTACAGTGAATATTCTACATCCTTGTTCACATGTGAGTAAGTTTCCATGGAGTTGATACCAAGAAGGGGAGTTGCTTTCTAAAGTGGTTGTACCAGTTCTCCTGATGCAAGGGGTATATCACTCTCCTAACGGCAATTTGTAAGTTCCAGTTTCCACACACACTGTCACTTGGTGTTATTGGACATTAAAATTAGCTAAGCCAATGAGTGTGAAATGATTTCTCTTTGTTTTAATTACTTATGAGATTTTATCTCATTGAGTTAATTGTGAGAATTCAAATGTTTATTGGTCATTCTCATTCCTTCTATATGAATTGCTTATTGTATCTTTTGCTCACTTTTCTACTAGAGTGTTTTTTTCTTAATAAAGGGTATGGGTTCTTTATGTATTCTAGATACTATTTATTTACATGGATTATAACTATCTTCAGTTTCTTCCCTTTTTTTTTTTTTTTAACCTTGTTTATGTCTTGATGTTCAGGAGTTTTAAATATTAGTGTCCTCCATCACCTTTTCCCTTAAGGTTTTTGTCTAAAATTTGTACAGTTTTGCTTTTCACTTAGGTCTTTAAACCATATGGCATTTTGAGAAGTAGGGATCTAATTTTATTTTTTTCCATGAGAATAGCCAGTTGTCCCAGCACTATTCATTGATTAACCTATCCTTTCCCCACTGATGAATACTGCCATCTTTATCTGTACCAAACTTCTTTCCATTGGTTTGTCTAGCTTCAGGCTAGGGACTGTATAGTCATAATTTTTTTTTCTTTTGGTGGTAAAATATAATTAAAGCTTATCATTTTGGACATTTTTAAGTGTATAAATCATTAGCATCAAGTACATTCACATTGTTGTATAATCATCACCATTATCTATCTCTAGAACTTTTTCATCGTCCCAAACTGAATCTCTGTACCCATTAAACAATAACTCCCCCATTTAGGGGCCGGCCTGGTGGCATAGCGGTTAAGTGTGCACACACTGCTTCAGCAGCCCAGGGTGCGCAGGTTCGGTTCCTGGGCGCGCACCGACGCACTGCTTGTCAAGCCATGCTGTGGCGGCATCCCACGTATAAAGTAGAGGAAGATGGGCACAGATGTTAGGCCAGGGCCTATCTTCCTTAGCAAAAAGAGGAGGGTTGGCAATGGATGTTAGCTCAGGGCTGATCTTCCTCACAAAAAAAATAAATAACTCCCTATTTACCTCTCCCCTCCTCCCCCTCATAACCATTATTCTACTTTCTCTATGAATTTGACTATTCCAGGTACCTCATATAAATGGAATCATACAATATTTGTCCTTTTGTCTGGCTTATTTCAATTAACATAATGTCTTCAAGGTTCACCCATGTCATAGCATGTATCAGAATTTAATTCCTTTTTAAGGCTGAATAATATTCTGTTGTATACATACATATATGCCACATTCTGTTTATCCATTCATCAATCAATAGACATTTGGATTGTTTCTACCTTTTGGTTATTGGGAATAATACTGCAATGAATGTGGATGTACAAATATCTGTTTGAGTTCCTGCTTTTAATTCTTTTGGATATATACCCAGAAGTGGAATTGCTAGATCATATAGTAATTCTATGTCTAACATTTTGAGGAACCACCATACTGTTTTCCAGAGCAGCTGCACCATTTTCCATTTCCACCAGCAATGCACAAGTGTTCCAATTTCTCTACATCCTTGCTAACACTTGTTTTCTGTTTTTTGATAATAGCTATCCTAAGGAGTGTGCAGTGGTACCTCATTGTGGTATTGACTTGCATTTCCCTAATGATTAGTGACGTTGAGCATCTTTTCATGTACTTATTGTCCTTTTGTATACCTTCTTTGGAGAAATGTCTATTTAAGTCCTATGCCCATTTTCGAATTGGGTTGTTTTTCTTTTTGTTGAGTTTTAGTAATTCCTTATATATTCTGGATATTAATCCCTTATCAGATACGTGATTTGCAAACATTTTCCCCCATTATGTGGGTTGCCTTTTTACTCTGTTGGAGTGTCCTTTGATGCACAAAAGTTTTCAATTTTAAGTCCAATTTATCTATTTTTCCTTTTGTTGCCTATGCTTTTGATTGTCATATCCAAGAAATCATTGCCAAATCCAATGTCATGAAGCTTTTCTCCTATGTTTTCTTGGAAGTCACATTTTTTTAAAATACATAGATGCAATTGCTTTACTAATATTTTGTTTAGGATTTTTTATATGATCATAAGTAAAATTTGCCTATACCCTTTCCCATTTACATCTTTATTTTTGGTAGCAAGGCTATACGAGCCTCATAAAATTAGTTGAGAATCTTTTCTCTTTTTGCTCTATGGAACAAAATTTTACCTATTGAAGGTTTGGTAGAACATGCCATGAAAACCATTTTATCCTGTGCTTGTTGGGGGAAATTTTTGTCTTAGTTTTTTAATGATTATAAGTCTAACAGTTTTTCTAATTCTTCTTGATTCTCTTTAGTTAAATTATTTTTTTCTCGGGAACTGTATATTTCATGTTTTACTTAATGGCATAAGTTATTTATTGTATTTTTAAAAGTTTTTCAAATCCTGTACTATCTGCAGTTGTTATGTTTTTATTGCCTATTTGTGCCTGCTGTCTTTTGTACTTGATCCATTTTGCTAGGTCTTGTTAATCTTTGTTAATATTTTCAGAGGACCAGCTTTTCTTGATTCTCAATTTTTTCTTCATTTTCTACTTTTTAAATTTCTGCTGTTATGTTCTTTGTTCACATTCTTTGAGTTTACACTGTCATTTTTCTAACTTTTAACATAGCTCCTTGATGGTCTAGCCTTCCTTACTAATTTAATAAGTTTTTAAAGACATACATTTTTGCCTCTCTCTTTAGTTTCACTGCACTATTTCTTTAGTGTTTTATATATATATATATGTTTCCTTAAGTTTAATTTCAAGTATTTTTTACCTTTCATTGTGTTTTTTGACCTATTAGTTATTTAAAATTATGTTTTTCATACCTAATTGGAGATTTCTGTTGTCAGTATTGTTA